TGTCTATTGAAGTGGATGGTATTAAGTAGAGTGTGGAGCTATATACAATGCTCATAAAATGGTTGCTAAGGCAAACAACATTAATGCAAAATTCCTCTACTAGGTAGAGGATTGTCATGCAGTCTGATTCTGCCGTTCGCTTGTTGCTCTATTTCTTTCTTAATGTGTTTACTGCCTCATGAGACCAACTGTCATTGCATCGCCGTGTTTGAATGAACCCTGTGTCTTGTGTTCACGACGAATCGTCTCTATCTGCAGTGGGACCGATTGTTTAAATGGACGCAGAACAGAAATGAGAAACGACACATTTGAAGTGGGACAAACACACAATTTCGTAGGAAGAGAGGGGTATCCGGACACACAGTGAAAACAGTGGAAGAGAGTTAATGAGGGAAGTACACATTCCTGTCTGTTTCCATGGCGCTTCATATAATGAGGTGGAAGGCAGCAGTTCAGCTTGACTACGGAGTGCAAACGATAAGTCGTGCAGTAGGCACTAGGATCAGGGTGGCAAGGAGGATTTGCCAAGTCTACACTTAATTTGGTCCAGAATATGAGTTATTATTCATTGCGTAATATCAGATTTGCACCTGATTCTTGTTAGTGAGGTAAAAGTGCAAGTGATTACTGAAGGAGGAAATATTGGGGGTAAGAAACAAGCGCAATTTAAAAAGGGTGCCATTGGAGAATAAGATAGGAGGAGCGAATTCGAGGGATGTACAAGGTTGTTAGGAGAAGGTTAATTTGGGATAAGGGTTAGGAAGGCGCAAGGACGAGGCAGGCTATAGTCACACACATTTAATCTGCACTGAGCAGTGACGAGCAAAGGCAATTCAAAAGTCCAAGAGGCTAGCATCTGGACATCTGCGAGAAAGCGAGAGGTAGCAGAGTGTCTACAGTCCCCAAGATAATGCATATTAATCATCTGATGTATTAAACTGCACCAAACTTTGTGCAGTAGACAATCCTGAGACAATGCAAATGACTATGGTGCTTATGGTTATGATTGTTCATTTAAGTTTTCCGTGAAAACCTATCCGCGTTGTAAATCGGCAGTTATTTAATTTTACTTCCCCTTAACTGGGCCATTTTAATCCAAAAGAATTTTTAATGCCTACCCTAAAATAATGCTTTGAATTCTTAAAGCAAGTAACTTACTTCTGTTATAAATTTGCCATTTTTCGCTATCATTAGAACTATTTTGAAATAAAAAGTGTGGCATTGAGATCTCGAGTGTATCGAACCTACCTTTTCCACTGCAGCATTGCAAGGAGCATAAAAAATGCATCAGTCACCACTGGCCACTACGTAAAATGAGGATGTATTGTAAAGTTCTATGGCACAAGTTAATGGGTGGTTGAAGGAGTGGGTCTCTTCAAATAATGTTGCGCTTGTGCATTTGCAACGGAACAAAATATGCTTAGCTGCACTCCGGGCATTATGGGCTGATACTGATTCCATAAACTGCTCTCCCGAAGTCACTTTTAATCCAAAACACGTTCTGCTATTGCATCAATTATCCAAGGGAAGATTCACCTACGAATGGGATTTTTTGAATCAGCACAGTATTCAAGTAATATAGGCTAGATAAAGCCAACGGGACCCTCACGTTGAATATATGCCGTAGGTTCCAATCCGGTGTGGGGAGTGGGGAGATGTAAGTCCTGAATTTCAGCTGCGCAAAAACACAATCGCTTGTTTAAATGCACCATCATTGTGAATTGCAACTTCGGCATTTTGGCTACAACATTGGGGTGTCTACGTTGGATAATAAAAGGAGTTCTTTCTCACTCGCAACATCATCTCCCTCCTCAATGAGCACGGGATGCTACAAATAGCCGTGCTTCTTGATAATTCTTACGTTCCTTTGATATACATCATAGTCTGCAGGTAGGTGCGTACTATTGGACTTCGCTTTCAAAACTGGCATTTCACAATTGATGAAGCAAAACATGAGAATTGTGTGTAGGTGGGTTAATTCGGACAGACAGTCCACTGACACTCGAAGTACTCTGCAGGCTAAATCATTTCAGTTTTCATCCCTCATGTCTGTTCTTAACAGTCTTACTTAATCAGGCAAATCAAGAGACACACCGGTAGTGAGAAGGTAATACGTGTGGCAACTGTTGGCTCACATCTTCACACCGGTACCGTAAACGGCTCCTCAACCAACTTTGCTGTATCAAATCTCACCAGCTGCCTTGTGTGGCTATTATTTCACTGGCTCAAGTGAATATCATGGGCAGTAATCATTGTGGAATCATTAAATGAGAAGAAAATGCTTCTCTCTACACCACACCACCTCCTTCCACCTGCGATACTTTGCCGAGCATCAATGTGCAAGAGCGTCAGAATTGTGGTGGATACAAAGCTGAATTCCGATTCGGAAATGCGCGGGTCATATGCAAAGCCCGTTCAGATTTATTGACTATCTTGAATCCTGTCCCGCGTGACCACTGCAATGTAGGTGAGGCGGAAGTTCTCTCTTGCGAAGGCTTCACTTCACCAGTACATTGACAGCAAACCTGGCAGAAAGGAGGTAGTTTTATCGGCACTGTTACTCCTATTCCAACCCCATTTACAAGCATACTCAAAAATGGATGCAAAAGTTTTGCATTTGGCTGTATCGCACCCGGATTGCTATCCGTGGTGTGGAGATGCGGAAACTGGAAATGAGCTGTTGACGGCACGAGCGGCATTCAGATAGGTAGGCAAGAGAATCACCACGATCAGAAACGAAGACGAATGTCATGACATGCGATGTCATCTGATCGCTTACTCCACAAAAATGCTATCGTGTAGAAGAAGCCAATTTGTGGATTTGTGGTTTGGAATATGTCACTCACTCCCAGCTCCAGCTTTCATGATTTAGTTCTAATCTTGATATCATGCGGAACAGAACTTGCAATTTAAAGGTGTTCTATTGTGACCTGCAGTTGTCCACTCCGCCTACCTTCCTCACATGCTGCACTCAGGCCTCAGTCGATGTTGCCCCTATTTTCACATTCATTCGTTTTGCCATGAATTCTCCACCTTTAATAGCAATCCTCCTTTGGTTTAGGCTGTAGCCCAGCGTTGTCACTGCTTCGACTTAAGCATACTGAAACGCGGTTATAAGCAAAACTGTCCGAGCCTCAGATGCTCCGCAGCTATGCTTCTCCTCTTCCTAATGGAACTTCTTCCCTGCATGAAAGAAGACATCTAACATATAAGCAGGTGATTTCTCCTTCACCCTTCCACTGACTGGATAGAACCCGGACTGATGTGCCTGGGCAGCACGGTGATGCTGCAGTCAAGCATCTTCTCGCTT